GCAATAAATCAATCTTAATTTGTATGAAACTATATCAATTAAAAATAAATATTTATAAGTACACATTTTAAGGAGCAACATTAAGACTATCAATTAAAGAGAAACTATATGAAATAATAATGAAATTTTTGATAGTTTCGAAAATTGTAATTTTAAAATTAACTGAATATAAGAATATATTCAAAGATTTGTCTTTTTAAAAATATTCAATAAATTAGTCTTAATTTGTATGAAAGTATATAAATTAAAAATAAATATTTATAAGTACACAATTTAAGGAGTAACATTAAGACTATTAATTAAAGAGAAACCATATGAAATAATAATGAAATTTTCGATAGTTTCTAAAATCCTAATTGTAAAATTAACTGAATATAACAATATATCCAAAGATTCATGTAACTTTTGTTATCAAAATTCATAGCACCGATTTATGTAATTTTTGATCATTCTATATCTGTTTTAAAAAACGAAAATTGATCAAATTTCTTAAATGGTTGATTGTGAATAATCTTTGTAAATGGTTGATTGTGAATAATCTTTGTAAATGGTTGATTAAAAATAATCTTTGTAAATGGTTGATTGTGACTAATCTTGGGAAACGTTAGATTGTGACTAATCTTCGTAAATGGTTGATCGTGAATAATCTCAAATTGTTCAGAGTTATATACATTTTCTACTAAATGAATCCAACTAAGTATTTAAGATAAAATATATCTTTCTAAAGGATTCTTTCTATTAAGTTTAGAGAGCTTTTTTAAGAACAGACATCTTTATTAAAAAATCAAATTCTTGAGAGCCAATTTTTTCTTTTCTTCAAAGGGTACACTTTTGGTGGCGTCATTTCTCTGTCCCAAATTTTAAAAAAGTCAAATCAGAGTCACCTATGGAATGCTTACTTTTAGTAACGTGATTTGGTCTTCTCGAGAAAGTGTGTCGAAACCAGGAACTCTCTTGGAAAATTCGACGATGAGTTGGACGGTCAAGATGGTAATTTCGGTGATGTGTTGGAATCTTTTCATACTATCTTCTTCACTATCACCCAAAGGAAAGGCCTACAAGAAAGCAGTAACATTAGAAAACCTTAAAAACAGTTTATATGACACAACTTACAAAAGTATTTTTTTTACGATTGAACTACAAACTAAATGAATTTACAAGCGAAACATAATTTTTCACTTATTCAGGGTGCGTAGCCAAATCTTTCAACAAAAAATAAGCACCTTTTATTTACTTTTTAAGCACTATATACATTACAAAATACAAAATAATTTTCAAAGACTTTACATGATCATGATAAAATAACTAGTTTCTGACTAAGACCTATTTTCTTGATTATATTAGACATTAAAAAGAAATCAAGNAGAGATTTTTCTGTTCGATTTCACAGGGCGGTAAATAGAGCTAGAAATTGAGAATATCTAGCAAAATGCAGCAGAGTTGCACATGAGAATGCAATAATCTCACCTAACCCAACTCACTATACGCACATCTAGACTTTCAAGTATTTTATCAAACCTGTAAAATAATGGGCACTTTCATACGCTATGGACCGATGGTAAGCTGAAATAGATGGTGGTTGAATGAATTGTGGAAAACGTTGAATAGAACAATGTGAAAAGCACGCCTTTGTATAATACATGAAGAAAATTGACATGGTAAAGAAAAAAAATCTAATTTTCGAAAAGGGAAAATTAAGCACTTTTACGCACCATGTTATATAATTTCCAAGTGGTTGAAAGTGCACGTTCTGGATTCCTTTGCAAGTACTCATGATAATTAATTCATATAAGAACAACACATTAAAAATCACCATTGAGTACAGGAAAGAAATTGACTGATATTTAAACAGACAGGATACTAATACTTACTGTTATTTTCTTAAAGTCTTCTTCAGAGGGTGATTCATACTCTTCTTGGAACACTACTAGTTTGCTAATTAATTCTTCTTGGGCTTTACTGAGTGTCTTATTTAGAGGGGCCACCAAGGGACTTCCAATGGGCTTTTCGTCCTTATCGGAGCCACTATCCCTTGTTGTACTATTTGGCTTGTCTTTATCTTTATTTCTCTTTGTTTCCCTTTTAATGGCACATTGGTATTCTGGAACAACACCTAC